TGGGGGAGACCATGCAGAAGAGAATTGCAGTAGTCAATACGGGAGGTAACAAGACTGTGGACAAGAATGGACGTAGACTGGGTGGAGAGAGAAGGAGCAATCTGTTAATGTTACGTAGACGGAAGTAGGCAGAACGGGTGAGATTACTGATGTGACATTTATAGGAAAGTGAACTGTCTAGGATGACACCAAGGCTCTTAACCTGAGGAGAAGGGAAAACTGTGGAGTTATCGATGGCGAGTGAGAAATGGTTCGCCTTCAAAAGGTTGGATTTGGTGCCAATAAGGAGGATCTCAGTTTTATCCTCATTGAGAATAAAACTATATATTTACTATATGAATCAACCTAAAATCTTAGTGCAGTGTGTTAAATGTATCATTGCCAGATGTCAGTAACTTTGAGACTCATTAGAAATGACGCAGCAGTAGTAACAAAAACCCACATGGTTACTTAGTGTCCGTTCAGTGTTCTTATGTCCTCCACTGCTTCCATGTTACACAACGGTAGCATCGAGCGATCCAAACTGACACCCATCTCTTAATCAATATTCAGTAAAGACATGTTTGCAGCAGCCTTTCAAGCTACAACACATCAGTGGTTCATTGTGTTTCAAACATTAAATATCACAGGTCACCATTACGAAGGATTTCACTGTTAAGACTATTTGCTTGCACCAGTGCAGACAGCGGTCCACTGTGTGCTTGCATGTCGTGTCCCACAGGTACACCTATTGGAATAACACCAACGTAGGAGCATTGTGTCTCTGCCTGAGAGACTGCAGACAGCATCCCTGAGCAAACACACTGCACAGGAATGCAGCCGACACTGCGTAGGTGCATCTACACACAGCAGGGCTATTTATGTGTGTGCGTAACCACACAAGGAGGGGAGGTATAAGGACGCATCAGTGCTGACTGCGTACAATCAGTGGTCACATTACTGACGGCAGATTATCAGCGGAGTCAAGCATGGATTGAGGAGGATCCCTCAGCTGGGTTTAAGCCGAGGCGAGGACAAGAAGTGACAGCAGCGAGGATCAATATTCCTCTGAAAGCTGGCTTGTGCTTCGTGTGATTTACGTGTGAGGGTGTCCCGTGCAGCACGGGCTCCATGCGTCGTAAAGAAAATGCATCTTTCTAAGAAAAACGTGTCCTTGGTGGCAGCACTAAAGACAAGTTGATGATGATGAAGGTGAAAATGAGTTTCAATGGGGAACTTCTGCAGTTCGTGTAAAGACACAGTCTTCTTCAGGGCAACAAGGTGAGATGACACCAGACGATGACAATGAAGTAGAGGGGATGGAGTTAACTGGTCACCGACTGGTCAACGAGAGCGATAAATGGGTCTAGCCTGGTACCTTGCGCTTGCGTTCAGCCCGTTCCCGGGAGCGCCTTCTCCTCTCTCTGGCTTTCTCCAGAGCCTTCAGATCCGGAGGTTGGTCCATTTCAGACCTGGCCTTCTTAATGTGAGCAGCAGCGTGAGCCATGGCTGTCCTCTCACTGTTTGCACACGCAGAAATCTACAGCTCTTAGATCACTCAGTGGTCCTCTCAGAACGCTAGCCTCATTAACAGAAGAGACCAGCCGTCCAACGAAACAGCCCCCTCTCCTCTCCAGGTGACAAAAACGGGAAGAAAACAGTTGTGGAATCCTCCACTGTCTCTCTGCAAACACTGTGAGTGGCACTAGCAAGCCTGCCTCCCTGCTGCCTGGATAACTGCATCTGAGCCCAGGATGGAGAGAGAGGAGGGGTTGCCTGGCACACGCCACCAAGAGGTAAGCTGGAAGACCAATAGAGAAGCCGGGAAGAGGCAGAGAGGCAGGAGGAGAGCGCTGCCCCTCCCTCCACCACTCGGGCTGCAGAGGGAGCAGCAGATTCTAAGGGAGCTGCTTTGGACCACACTCTCATTATACGACCCCCCTCTGCCAGTAAACCAGAAGGGGAGGTAAACGCAGGGGGAGGAGCTGGTAAAAAGAAATGGGAGGAGATACAGAACACGGAAGTCAGTGTGTGTCCTTTGGAGAAAGAGCAAGGGAGGTACCATTTCAGCAGAGGGGGGGACCTGCCCCTGTCAGCAAATGGTACAGACTGCTTGAGCAAACACACAGAAAAACAAATGATAAAGATGCAAAGCATCCTTTTATACATGTGATGCAATGCAGAGTGTTAGCACCACTGACTCGTGTGAGGCAGTAATAATAATAATTAATGTTCGCACACTTTTCATGTTTAAACGGAAATAATCCTCATTAACACGAAGCATCGCCTCCACCGCGACCTCACCCTTTTTGCTTTTTAACACAATGGCGCCCCCTCATGTTCTGTCCTAACACTGCAGTGAAAAGTGACAGTATGATACTCCACAGTCAAACGTACACTGAGGTTAGAGACGATGTGAAACACACGATCTCCTGCCCCCTGTGAAAAGAGTGGCTCCTAACCTGATCAGCGTGTTACTCACAATAATTGTATTAGCAGTGGGCATCCAGCAGTGCGGAGATTCATAGGAAACCTGGAGTAAATCTGCCTGGTTACTAATCTTCTCCAAATCTCCCCCAACAGAGCGGAGGATAATCTGCTGAGGGTCTCATACTGGATACACGCAGCTGCTGAGAATCCTCATCGTCAAATATACAAAAACACACGTTCCTTGATGGACTGTGGGAGCTCGTCAGGCTCTGACCCTGACAGAGCTGTGACCTCTGACCTCTGTGAGTCTCAGGAGGCGGCAGGTCGGTAACTGCTTCAGAGAAGGCCAGGCTTTGAAGCTGTGCCACAGCCATGTGTGATTATGAACGCCAACATGTGCATCTTACAGTGGTTCAGTTGGAGCTGGTTATCTACTGTGTGTGTTTACATGTGTACATTTGTGCATTTGTTGCTGCCTTGCTCAGAGGCTCTGGGGCTTTAACTCATCACTGCTGCTAAAACAGAGGAATGAATCTCGTGTTTAAACACGCCTGCATTCACTGACAGATGTTTGGTAATAAAGTTATTAGTTGTCTTGTAAACAGCACTTTGTGGTAATGAAATGTGTATATGAATAAATCAATGTGCTGCTGCTCAGACCGAGCTGTGCTGTGTGAGAGTAAATGTTCCAGCTGAAGCTAAAAGACTCGGATAAATCAGACTGAGCAGGTCCAGTTACAGCTCTGAGTTCAACAGCAGGGACTTCATGAAATATTCATTTTCACTGGTTTCCATGTTATTAATTTCATTCCTTTATATACTGTTGCCATTATTGACATATTTGAAGAAGCTAATGTTCTTAGTTTGAACGTCACATTTTCATGGCGTTGCCTTCATGTGGGCAATAATTATTATTAACAGCTACGCCGTTCTGGAACGAGATACGCTGAGCTGTTGGCATCATACAGGCAGAAAGAACGGACAAAAGAAGAACGTGGAAAACACCAAAGTTGGAAGAACAGCTTCCTAACTTTCTACACATTAAAGCACACATTCTTGTGCTTGAATAGAAACACATCTGACTTTCACACAGATGATTTCAGTCTGATCTGTAGACACAAACAAATGAGCGGTCCCGCCCCTGGCCAGTCACAAGTTCAGGGTGTTGTTTGCAATTTACAAAGTAGAGCACAGAGTTGAACTGAGACGCTCCCTTGTGCTAGAAAGGTGACCTATGAGTAGGGCTGCCACGATTACGTCGACTAGTCACAATTAGTCGACTATCAAAATCGTCGACGACTGATTTAATAGTCGACGCGTCGTTTGAAGCTTTGTAAGATCACAAAGGACGCAGGAATAAGTAGCAGGATTTAAGAGTGTAATAACGGACTGAAACAGAAGATGGCAGCACTGCATGTACAAGGATGCCAGCTGCCGTTAAACCCCGAAGAAGAAGCTGTGTCCCAGAATTCATAGCGCAGCTAGTTAGTTTTAATATTACTCTTATTATTCTTTCTGGGTCACAAAATAAACGTTTAACATATTTTCATTTTGTTATATTTTAGATAGCAAGGAGTTTAGTAAACTTCACCGAAACAATCTGCAAATTTCATTAAAACTTAATAAACTATCTTGTCTTTATTTTTAGTTAGCACAGACCTTACACACTTGCCGTAAGCTAATGATAGTTATATAAGAGCAGATGCTGCTGGTGCAATAAGCTGTACGTTTTACGTCCAATGGTGGATGATCTGATTAGGCGACTAATCGCAAAAATAATCGTTGACCAGTCGACTATCAAAATAATCGTTTGTGGCAGCCCTACCTATGAGTGCATCAAATAAAGTGTAACGTGGAGGATTTTAGCTCCTTCATTTTCCTCATGTGGCCGACAACCACGTTGGAGTCACATGAGTCAGAGGAAATACGTTAACTTATCATTTTTCACATCAGAAACACTCAGAAAACCAGATTGTGCCAAACAACAGTGGAAAAGAGGAGGACACAGGAGTGCAGAGGCCGGGGGCCCAGTCCACATCCACCAGGTCTTCATCCAGGACAGATCTGACTCCAGCATGCTGTCATTTCTTCATATCTAAGTTTGACTTAGATTGAGGAAAAGAGAGATTACATTTAGGTTGAAACAACCTTTTCTCAAGTCCAACCTTCCTCAGCTAGCACACAGCACAGAGCTGTCTCACTGAAACCTTTCAAAAAGAAATCAGGTAAAGAAAAAGTGTTCATCATCATTAAATATCACCCCAGTGTCGTCTGTGTCAGTGCTTAATGGAGGCTGCTTAGAAACAATGTTACCACCAAGTACCTTCAAGCCTTCGTTTACAACAAGATTTATTTCACACTGAGCCTCGGTTTCACAATAGTAATGCAGCGGCTGCTTTCTATCAGCTATTGCCTAGCAACAAGGGTGTGGGGCATTGTCATGGTGACAGTGAAGAAGGGGAAGGTAGGCTCACCATGGGGGGGTCTGGGATAAGCACATCCCTGGAGTTTCATTAACAGACTCTCCTGCGCTCACACAAGCGCAGCATAATGAGAAGCTGTGTTTGTGGCTAACACGGAGCTTCCTGGTTCCTTTGTCTGTGTGGAAGATCATCAGAACAATCAGGAGTCCTCGTCTCACCGCACAGCGGACACAAAAGGACAATCACGAATAAAGAGAGCGAGCGGGTGCGCCGAGGGCGCTCGATTCATCGGTCCCATTGAGCCAAATGAGCCGTCCCACAATTCCCCTGAGGCGGTGATGACATCGCCCTCCCTGCTTCACACATACTTCATCTTTCCCGTGTCCCACTTTCTGCTCTAATGTGGCATTAGAGAGCTGTGCGAGTAAGAAAACCTAGCTGGAGAACAACCCCGTCCGACATCAGAGCCTCAACGTGTTCCACTCGATCGACGGCCCTGAACACAAACTCGCCTCAAAGAGCTGAAGTCCAGTTTACACATCGAGAGCTGCCGACACACGGCAGCTGCTCACAGCAGTTAAGCCTCCTGTGTACGTCGTCTCCAGTCTGAACCTTAAATGCAGAGTTTGCTTTCACTCTGAGGGAACCACCACACTCATTAGAAAGCCACGACTGCTACAACTCTGCCAACCTCAGCTTTATAATAAAGTCTGGTAACATGGTTATGTGCATGCTTACACAGGCAAAGCAAAGCAGTTCAGCTGGACAGGAAAATGATGAATTAAATTCATAATTAGTTAGTTTGTTTTATTTCCACAATAAGCAGCTGCAGGCCGAACCCTGGAGCTCTGTCTGTGAATGAAAACCACTAAACGTTCTGCATTACCTTTATCAGCATTAGTTTACATTGTTTTAAGTGTAAATACACAAAGTTTTACTAGAAATTGACTCTGATTTAAGTTGTTTTATGCCCAACTCTAAGCTAGTTCGTGCTATTTGAACCAACAGTCAGTGCCACAGGTGAAGAATCCACAGCATTAAATGAAAGACTGCAGGTCTTTGCACTGATTAAAGAAGAATTCAGTTCCAGTTTAGTACCTGTCATAAAGCTTAGTGCCACTGTCCCAGTGCACCACCAGCGCTTACCTGGCCTGCTGCTCCTACCACCATGCCTGCACTCATGGGTGCTCCAGAGAGGCCACAGCACGCCGGGGTCAAATATATCCACCGTGTCCCGGCCACTCGGGGTGTCCGAGCCAAGACAGAAGGGGAAACGAGGGGGGGAGGCAGAGCGGTCCTGCCGACTCTGTGAGTGGATTAGTGTGTAACACGCTAGAGGTATTAACACACTGCAGCTGACATGCACGCAGACACAAACGCATGCACGCACACTGCAGGGCGTGTGCATTCTTACAGGGGATTACGGGGACAAAAATAGAGGAGACTCCTCTGCTGACCTAGAATCACAATGTTGTATGAAGACACAATGGAGAAGAGACTAGCCACGCCCACTCCCACCACACACACACACACACACACGCACGCACGCGCGCGCACGCACACACACACACACACACACACAGACACACGCACACACACATTGTGTAAACACAACTTGTTGCAGGATCACTTGCAGACAGAGAAGCGTTATTTGGTTCGTTCACAACTATTTTCTAATCATGTCCCTCAAAAGCAAACCTGCAAATCTTCTTTGGCACTGAAGATCACTGCAGGGCGTGGCTACAGACACAGCAGAGCACCTATGGGCCGCAAAGGTTTTAAAAAACCATCACTTACTATGATATTCATGAGAATAAAACCGCCAACATACAGACAACAGATGTAGCTGCACTGCGTGTTGAAAGTCAAGAAAGACACGACACCATCCACCACCATACAATTAGACCATCCATCCATGTCTGGGGCCATGGTGTGGAGGAGCAGAGACCTTGCTCTGCCAGCCACCTCCTCCAGCTCATCCAGGTGAAGACAGAGGCGTTCTTAGGCCAGCTGAGAGATGTCATTTCTCCAGCATGTCCTGACCCTACCACAGGACCTGCTCGTGGTCAAACATGCCAGAACACCTTACTCACTAAGTGCCCAAGATCTGGA